TATTAAACAGGAGTCATCAGTAATTGGGCAGCAACTTAGTTTTCTTGAAGTATATCTTTATGTGTGACCCTATTTTTGGAGATTCAGAAATACAACGGGGTTCAATATCAATACGGAATATCACCTTAGGTTTCCTAATTTAAAACAAAAGATAGACGTAACTTCCAGAATGGTAATCTGAAAGACATGATGCACATAAGTGCCTTCCAAATGTAAACACAACATCTGGCATGCCTTTATTACCAGTCCGCCAACTGAAGAACGGAAATTCTAGGTAAATTACGCATCTTCTGGTGTCAGTGAATCTGAGATTGGTTTAACGTAATGCTATTATTGTGACTGAAGCGAATATTAATCTTATAAAACTCCGTCTATTATTGCACGCATCAACCTGACAGAATAACAACTTTTCGCGATATTGTAGGTTTACTGAGAGTAAAAACAATTATCTTTACCTAAGATTATGATATCCATCATTATTCTGAGTATTAGATCAGCAGTGAAATCATGTTTGAAATAGTAGATTGCTAAAATATTTGATTACCAAAAGTGATATAGTTCAACCCTAACCTGACAGGAGACTTTTAAAGCAATAAATTTCCACACCATGACTAGATTCCAGTTGTTATTCTTCAAGAAATCAGCTTTCTGTAAAAAACTGTCATTCCGCCATTTAGTTCAGTAATTCGCTATAGAAAAGGCTCTAACAAGAGTTTTGACTGTAAACACCAAAGGTTCAGCGAGTAAACTAACATGATTACTAATATTTAACGAGCTCGACGAATACCACGATAAAACAAAATCCGTGGGAATACCATGAGGTGACTTGAAACACATGGACACAAACAGCATCTGATGTTTTGATTTTAAATTTACTATTTAAAAGCAATCAACAATACATATATGCCCAGTCCTTTGGTACTTTTGCAAGTAATAAAACTTATCACCTTGACAAACGCCTCAACTAAAATTACCTTTTAACACATCATTCATTTCTAGTTGAAACAAAGCTGACATTGTTATCCAAAGATACTACCTACTGTATAGAAGTGATAAACTTTGAAGGACTTATTTTTTTTAGATGCATTCTATGTTTGATAATACATTACCTGGAAATATTATTACAAAACTCGTAAAGATCCGTGTAACTAAACAGAGAAAGGTAATGTCTAGATATAGTTACAGAGAATGAAAAGCGTAAGAGATAATCTATTCTGTATTAACTTAAAATGCACTTGCTTTCCTTCACCTTTTATTATTTTGCCAGTTGTCAAACGTGCTATTTTGTATTGCACTACTTCTTTGAAAGGAATCCAACGAAAAAAATCAAATGTACTGAGCCCGACCTTCAAAATAAGTATGATCATTAGTAAACCTACCGTTGTGAAACAATTTTTAGCACCAGCTGTTCTAATTGATATTTCATTATGAAAATTACGTGGCTCCATGTATTATTATAGCCCAATAAACTCCTCATTATATCGCGTAAAATACAGCTAATAGAAATAGGCTGCAAGAATATTTATTTTATAGAAATACTGATCACCAGTCATTCACACAAACAACTTATCATCCTACATGAATATAGCATTCAGTTGTGAATATACATCAACACATACTACTGAGTATAGATTATTCAGTAGCATATTTTTATACTTTGATTTAATTTTACAAATCAGTGATCATTCGATGAATTTAACATTTATTATTCATAATTATAATATCCCTTAGGACACTATGTAAGAAACAAATCTTCATAAAATAGTCAAAGCTAATTTTATGTAGTCTGTTTGAAGATCCTAATGATTTCAAATACAGAAATTTCCCAGATAGTGAGATTTCTACTTGTACGCACACAATTTAGTGAGAGATCAATCAGATAAGTCAGTAGCACCCCAAGGGATAATATTAACCAGAAACTTTGCTTATCCAAGCTAATTAACTAAATTCCATAGTCTCTAGATTTCCGTAGAAATCAGTAATTACTACTAAAATGGCAATAAATCCCCATTCAATAATAATTGAGTTTTTAATGCATGGTCGCACGCAGTCATTACCGTTCTAAAGAAGTGAGTACTGATGAGAGCATACTGGAAGAGAATTGTTCCAATAATGATTTTCTAAATAGTTAGATATGAGACATAAACTATGTCAGAGGAATAGGATTCCATGTACGGTTAAAACAAACGAAGTCAAAACAAATATTTGAATGATATGCCTGTCTTCAGAACATGCAACAATCAACGGAGTGAATCAAAAGCCGCCACTGAATAACAAGGGTTAAAATATTCAGTCAAAAGTCACAGATCATACCAGTGAAAATTATACTCATGCTTGAAGGACAAAGAACATGTGTAGAATGATTGTAATAATTGGTAATAGATTGAACTTCTCGTCTCACTCTAATAATTAGTGTCTGACTCGAAAGAAGTCATGTGAGATTATTTATTTTCTGAAGCTGATTCAACAAGGAAATCAATGACTATTTGATACGTAAAACACTGAAGATTCACAACCCATTTGAGTGATAATTAATATCAACCTACAAAAACACTAGGTATTATTAATCTCAAATGAATGTTGACTTTTGATGAATTCCATCTCATAGTTAGATGGATCTTTTTCGTTCAAGACTTGTATCAAATAACCACTTAACTCACTGACAACAGGTGGGTATGGAATGATAATATGTTAAATTTTAATAAAATACGAATCGTACCATAAAATGATTAAGTTATTTGGAGATGAAACAGAATCAGCCTTTTAACTTAAAACCTGTAATTACCAGCCCAAATGCGATTTCAGGATGGTAGCAAACCAGAAGACGTCTGAACTATATTTTCAGGCTATCATGAGCCATATGTCCTACGAATTAGTTAAATACACCCCCACTAGGTAAATGCATTCCCGTTCCTAACAGCTAATTATAATTACGTATACAAAATGGTTTTTTCTACTAACATAAGCTGTTAGACTGGTTTGCAGTCTAAACTTGTTGCCTAGATAATCAGACGCCAGAAGCAGTTCTCCAGTCATGGCGATAGCGCTTTGTTGGAAGTGAAGTATCGTTTCAGGGTATGAAAGCAATCATTCAAAAGTAAGGAGAGCTTTAACTTACTATTATTTTCATTGCTGGTGATTACTTTGAAAATTATCGGTAATCAAAACAAAGAAACAGGACATAGTCTAGAATTATGGAAAGACTAGTTTTAGGCCCTGGTACGGCCGAGTGAAGAGTTCACTTTCGAACTGCTACCATCGCCGAGGAAGTCCTACTCGCCGCGTTCTTGTGGTGGCTTTACTGTTTACAAAATTGACAGGCGTGTTCGAGACTAATCAGGTTGATGGGTTCGGAGATCCACCTAAGAGTTAAAAAACACTGATCCCAAATCAGCGGTGCACGTAGGCTACAGGAGCATATGACACATGAACCTATTGTTAATGACATGCTACCATGGAATCGCATCTACATTACTTCACTGCCCTAAGGATTAGACTTTTGGGTGAAAATCTCAGGGGATGACCTCCTCAGGAAAATAACCTGCTTTAGTTTGGGTACTCAAGTTGTATCCCGGTCCACTTGCAAATTCAATAATTTATGTAGCGCATAAATACTTAGGTGCCCCTTCATAACAATGCTTTCATTGAAATAAAATAAAAGCAGACGCCCAGACGAATAAGTTGTAGTTATATTATATAATGGGCGGATGAAGTCTACTGAACGTGGTTTCGGAGTAATCAGTCAGTCAGTTACAACGTAGCTATTCGTACGTATGTACATACGTTCAAGTTGCCACGACACATTAACACAGAGATGCAATTGTCACTTCGAATCCTATAGCAGTAGAGGTAGTAGACGTATTTAGCAGTAATCGGACAGATTAGGGTTCGAAAATATTATTCAAGAAATACAAACCAGTGAAAGAAACATAAAAAGAAAAAGGTGATGATAGGTTAGGATTTGAGAGTATACAAAGAATGAATGGACCTGCGCCACTGTAAACGGTTTTGAGTCTCGTCACTCAGCGTCTCTAATCATCGATTATTATCATCTCACGGGCCCGAACCATGTAGTCGACACCTACCAACATGACTCAGTCCACTAGTCAATAACTTTATGGATATCTGCCTTGTTTTGGCCGCCCCTAGCTTTCTTCCAACCTACTCTTACACCACAGAACATAGCTCGTCGAGGCAGTCGGTGGTTGGGTATTCGTAACACATATCCCAACTAATTCACCTGACGAAGTTCCATTACTTCATCTATTAATTCGCCAAACCTACCTATTACTCGTTTCCTAACGACAGCATTACTTACTCGGTTATCCCAGGATACACGAGCAATGCTTCGAATACTAATAACCTACGAATATTTTCAACTCTTACCGGCAATGTTCCATAGACATAAAGTAGGACGGAGTAAACTGATGCGCAGACACTCGTCCTTTGATTAGCAAACGGGTATCTCGTCTACGCCTTGAGTGACACAAGTTGGCGAAAGCCGATCGAGCCTTCTGTATCTGTGCTGATGGGTTTAGGAATAATCATATGACTACTTTTAAAGTACCGAACATTGGTATGAACCCTGGATTTATCAATTGAAGAGCCGGATTAGACTAAACTTATTAGGAATAATAAGACCTGCTTAGCACATTTAATTACTGGTTAACAAAATACACCAAAGAAAGAATACAAGATAATCGAGTGGTACGATATACAGGAATTGCCTACGCTATTAAAACGAAAAGTTTTTCAATCCACAAATGCCTAATTCGTTCAGTGAGGAATTTCAGATAGCGGATCTCATAATGTATCTCTGAAAAAAAAATTATTACCGTGTTTCATGACTGGACACTATAATGATAGTAAGACGTTCGTAAAATCAGATATAGAGTACCTATTACGGAACGACTAAAGCTTTTAAATTCAAAGCTAATGCCCATAAGTTATGATTAATTTTTAAACCTGCTGCAACAAATCAAACAAACGACTTCAATAGCACATAATCCAATTATCCAGCTTTCAATTTCATAAAAAGACATAATAGACAATAGAACTCTTAATAAAAAGAGAAAATAATTTACAAAGACAGAGTAAAGTAATTTTGTGGGTAACCTATAAGCAGGAGCATTTCATGCGTACAAAGACAAATCGACTGAAATACGTAAGTGAAAAGACAACAGACCGGATCTTAAAAGCATATACATAAGCAAAGTTACTATACTATACTATAATGGGAAGGAACTTGATAGAGGGAAGAAAATATGTGAACTGCACAAAGTGTTGCATGTACAAAGCTAGGCAACAGAGAAGAGCATCAAGAAGATTAATAATTTCTTCGGCTATATACAACATAAGTCTATATTACCCCGAAGATTTAACAAAGACGTTTGGGGGGAAAGGCAATGTTAAACTATTTCTTGGAATTTTAAACAAATGGAGGCGCAACCAGCCCAGTTCTAAAACCGAAATAAATGTATACAGTGATAAATATATAACACACTTCATCTTAGTTTCATACAAGATGAAGGAAAGAAAAATATGCGCCACAAAAGATTAGCTCATACATTTAGATAAGAAACAAAATTTGAATCTAAAAGTAAACAAATCATTTGTTAGCAGTGAATTTTGTAAAAGATCTGATAAAGTTGGAAATTTATTCCGAAGACCTCGAAAAACAGGAAATAAAGACAACGGGGAAAATAATTCGAATATCCTCGGGGATTATGGATTCAGTTAATGTGCAAGCACTGCCGAGCATGGAGGGGCTACTAGAAAATATATCAAAAATGTGCGCAGCAACCAAACAGTGAATGACCACCGGAACAAAGTGAAAGAATGCACACAACTGGCTTGGAAATTCAGGAATCAAAATTAACATAAATGCGACGTTAGGGTTTAAGGAACCACGAAATTTGTAGTGAAGGAACATGGAGCACTTATCAGCATTCCCCTCCCTGAATAGTAGTTTGAGCCAGCAATTCGCAAAAATGTTTTCATCTGTGCAATTTTGGACAAATTAACTAGCACTTGTATCAATACAGCACAACATGACAATGTCATGTCAGCTCAAAAACGACTTTAAAATTACTTACACAGCCAGCAACATGAAAGTGTTTAACGTTTAAAGACAAATCATTGTATGCCATTGCCAAGGTTATTAGCAGAATTACTGGAACCAGAATCACGTAAAGAGACTCCTGGATCGGAAACATTTGTGTGGGGAATATTTTGGTGAGTCATCAAAGCAACAACCTGACGACCATTGGAAGTTGCAGAAACAAGCTGTGATTGGGACTGGTGGGAGAGATGGGTCGGACCACTTGCAGGAGCGTTTGTATTAGTAAGGATTATATGAGGTTGCATAGGATTCACTGTACCACTCAAGGACTGGTGTTGCTGTGACCTAAAGTGCACAATGGCCGCTTGAGGTGTAGAGGATTGACGACCCATATTTGAACTAGAAGCTGGAGTTAAGCGTTGAGGAACAGCACTAAGAACTTGAGATTGCTGATTTCCTACAGAGAGTATGCTGGAACCAGTGGCTGAAACAAACATATTGGATCCAGATTCATTACCACTGAACCCAGAATCTGGACCAAGTTGAGTCGTATTATAGAAATGCTGTACTTGTTGCGGTTGTGATTGTACCAATGTCGCAGTACCTGGAACTGCTCGGAAACGCAAAGTTGTAGTGTTTGAGACAGCTTGAATTGGTTGTGCAGTGCATCCAGTAATTAAAGGTTGGTGGTGATTCGTAGTGATTGGGGACTGAATAGAGATCCATTGAACAGGCTGATGCATCACCGTAGGAGTGGAACCTAAAGATGCTGATGCTGTAACTACAGGCATGGACGACATGGGTGTTGAAAGACTATTTATACTTTGGGTTCGATTTAATCCTGTGTTCTGGTGATTTGAATTAGCCGATACAGATGATGGAACAATAACGACGTTACCCGAGACCCCACTGGAACCTAAAAGTGATTGGGAGGCATCAGATATCGAGGAGGTTGCAATTGCAGAACTCGTAGATAATGACGATGTGCCCGGTATACTTCCCGAGGTAGTTACACGTCTTTGACTTGCTTGGGCACGTAGCTCAGCTTGTTGTTTATGTTGAGAGTGTAAAGCGAAAAAGGCAGCATGGAACTCGGGATGACGTTTGATCCATGCGATAAACTGTAAGAAAGAAAATTATTTAAAAAACAGATAAGCGAGTGGATAACGAAACAATGAACTAAACGGGAATTTTGTCTTTCATTTATTAAACAAGATAAGACAGTGGCGCATCTAATAACAAAACAAGTCGCACTACTGCAGTGCAAACCAGCGTACCATCTAGTATTTATACGGTGCTAATTTAAAGGGAAGTCTACAAATATCGTGTAATGAAAGTAAACGAGTTAAATTTTCTCTACAGCTGCTTAATTGCATATTTGTTACTCCTCATGATATTCATTAACTGAGAATTTCGATCGGTACCTAAATAAACGAACACTACAAATGTAAAGACTACCTAGTGACTGACCCATGCTTCAAACTTTTTATGCATACGACTTACGTAGTAAGCATATTTCGCAGAATTGTACAACAGATAAAACGGTAAACCACTAATCTCAAAAACATTAAGTTGCTTACCCGACGGTTTTGCTCATCACTTGAAGATCCAGAGGCTTTAATAAGACTGATTACTTGACTAACATGGTCTATCTCGCCTTGTGTAGGTTTGTTGGTTATTGCTGGTTTTTGACTATTAACAGGATTAAGAACAGACACAGATGAATGAGTTGAGGTTGCAGAAGCTGGCTGCGCTGGTGATTGTATTAACTGTCCGGTAGACGAATGGATTGTACCTTGAGATGCGGTAGCTGTTATTACTGGGCGAGCTCGCCAACCTGAGGTAACAGAGACAGTAACAGGAGCATTTGGACGTTGTACGGGGCATGTATTCATTGGTGGTTGCATCATGACACGACCTCCAGAAGGCATTACTGAAGAACATACAACAGGCGGTCGTGGGTTTGCACTCTGATTGTTCTGAGAAACGACAGTTGGTACTTGTACGCGGGGTGGCTGTGGATATTGAGGAGTTCCTACAGGAACCATTACTTGACCTTGTTGTTGTACCTGAGTTTGTGTCTGAAAACTCACAGGAGTAGTAATACTCGGAGGCTTCTCTATTGAGTTGGAAGGAGTGGATAACTGTGGGTTTCTCACTGCATTTGTGTTCAGAGACTGATGATTGGGAGACTGAGTTTGACGTACTGAATTAATGCTACTTGGATTCAAAGAACTAGAAGAAATCGACGCTACAACAGATGTAGGACAACTTTGTGTCGGAGGCTGTGATTCACTAGTTGGGAGTGCTCCTCGATGCATTGTAGAAATACGACGTCTGAGCAACTTATTTTGTTGCAACCGCTGCTGCAACTGCTTCTGTTTAACTCTATACTTTATGTTTGAGCAGAAAGGAACAGGGCACTTAGAATCGACACAGTTTCGAGCGTGGTGCCATAGCAGTGACAACAGCTGTTGACAAAGCAGACAACTATTGGTTGCTTTTTTGGTACAGCTTCGAGCATGGCATAAAACTTTTTTCATCTGAGCACAAGTCTGCATGCGACAGTTTACGTCCCGGCACTGGCAAGCATGAAGTAAGGACCTTATACATCCGTCTATGCTGCTTCGACGATCAGGTGTGGCACCAGTGCCACTGGGTCTATCACCTGCTTCTTCATTTGAGCCTGAATCTTCATCTATGCCAAGACCATACTGAACCATAGGATGTGGATGATTTTCTGTCTTATAACAACGAGAGCACAAGTCATATTCTTCACACTCATTACAATGCCATCGCGTTTCGATCTGAGCACCGCAAACATTACAGTTAAAAATAAAGCTTTGACGTAACTCCATATGTAGTTCATACAACAGGACCATAGAAGAATACTTAGCACGACGCAAAGATGAAAATTCTAAATGCCTTTCCCGAGCCATTTGTAAGAACGCATCCCGACTATCCATAAGCTCACTATGTACAGGTTGATCAGGATCAGTAGTTGGCGGAAGTGAGGCAGCCGAGTTATGTCGATGAAGCCGTATCACAAAAAATATTTCTTTCAATTTCTCCATGGTATCATACACTTTCCGTGAAAGCTCTTCAGCACCATCTATTGGACCATCTAGACGCTTTCGTTTACTTGCAGTAGATGTATTGCCCTTTTTGTTACCCTTGCGTTTTTTCGCCTTCTTTTTCCCACTGCGTTTATCAGGATCTCCAGATAATCCTTCATTGGTAGAGCTTGAGCAATCTGCCTCATCATCTTCAGCCTCTGCCTGAGCCATCGCCTCTTCACGGCGCCGACGGGCTTCTTCCTCTTCTAGTTCCTGTAAAGAAATAAGGATAAGAAGCGTCAAGAAGGAAATCAGAACTTCCAAAAGTAGCCTAACTGCACAATGCATGAGTTTGTAATGGTATCACAGAGAAGGAATGTAAAAACGGTAGTGAAGATGGGATTGAGATGACTATTAAAAAATTTAAAACACTATAAAGATAATACGTCGATGTTGATTCAATAATCTTTTGACGTAAACACAGTATAACCGCATGGATAAATACTGATTGAGGGATTAAATCCTCACAATAACCTTAGTCATATTACCAAATAAAATAAATGTATCCACTGTTGTTGTTTTGCATGATCGTCGCTTGATAACTGTTCATAAACAGTCGAGGTTTTCTTCTTATCATGTAAATTATCATAATTGTATAGCTTTTACATTTCTCACTAATTCTATGTTACCACTGTTGAATTTTAGTAGCAAAGAATACGATGAAAACCGAATACCTAATAGGAATACTACGGAATAATAAACGATCAGGGACACAATTTAACGGGAACATATATTCTTAGAAGTTTCTACGTAAGAAAATTTTCCTAAAAATGCTTTATGGCTGACATTAGAAAACCTTTATCAATATTTTAATCCTATTGTTATCATTATCACCCTTATTGACTCTATTGTATATATATATATATCCCTACAGGTGTTTTTGAGTAGTTAACCAAAGATATTAATATTAGTTCATAAACGTGAAATGCAATAACGGACATAAAAAATCAAATTTGCTAAGATTAAGAACCATTGGTGACCTTTATCGTCGACAGTGGATGAAGCAAAATGATTATGACTGTTATGCTGTAAGTGATGCATTTTAACCGATGTTAATTTATTACTTCTACTTACTGGATAATGGGAAGATGCAAAACCAATATGAACCATGGTATGCATGCAAGTATTATCAGTTTAAAGCAATGAATGAATCCATTTTGTTGTTGCAAGTTTTAGTTACTCAAATACAGATAATTTAACGAGTCGATGAGGAAAAATACAATTCTAGAACTAAACTAGAGCATAAACGTAGTGTAGTGATAAATCGCTTGTAACTTTAACTTCCAGTTCTACATAAACAAATCTATCTACAGTTCAGACACTAGGCTAGAAGTTAACTGTAAGTTATCATCCAGAATCAAAATGACCAGTTAAACGTGTCTAGATTTTCCCAAGTTATGAAAACATTCGTCAGAAATATATTTGAGTTTCATACTTCCTAAAAATAAAATATAGGTAGTAAATGATTAATAATAACTAGCCTCCATACCTTATCTGAAAAAAGGAAACATAATAGAGGAAAAACTTAAAGAATATAAATCGGTAATAGTTGCACAATGCAAAGAGCCACTTACGCCAAGGCCAACAATAAGCCTGAAAAGCCTAGTGAGGAGAGAAATATTGTTGCGATGGATTTACTTACCTTAAGAATATCTTCAAGCGTATTTGGCCAAAAATCACCTTCAAAATAAGGAATCTCCGTAGGCGACACAAGTTGATGATCTAAAGCATCTTTGAGGATGTTTTTGTAGTCGACCACAATTCCTTCTATGATAGCTTTTTGAAGCATGCGGCGGTACCACTCCTGTAATCGCTTAGCTTTGGGGATTTTTTGTTCGGTAGGATGCATGTGAAAAATATAATCATCGCCTTCACCAGGTGGACAAGCCCATATATGTGCCATCGCATAACCACATCGCTTTGCGTACAACAGATAACCAACGAGAATTTCATGATACACATCTGTTCTATACTGTTTTGGTCGGAAAAAGAAAACTGAATCCAGGTATGCAACATAAACCCTTCGACGATTGGGTTGAGGACTCTCTGAACCATATTCTTGCACATACAAACCGAAGAAACATACATCCTGTCCGTCGATTTCTTGAAAAGCGAAAACAGCCTTTAGTCGATAAGGAAATGATTCTGACAGTTCGCCACTTTCAGTAAATCTTGCACGCATTAAAGGTTTAACTTCTACAACCTTGTCAGAACTTGCCAACACACGAATAGTAACTTCTCCAGTACCAACTTCTTTCTTTTTGAGGAAATCGTTAACACGCTTTTCCAAGAAATTACTCAAGCGCGTTACGGGCAATTTTTTAGCAGTGAACCGATTTTCTTTTCGCTTTACACCGCGCTCCCGCAAACAACCAGGACAAACGTATCCGCTTGGCCAGATTTCATTCATGTGTAAGGCGCAAACCTTGTGCCACCGTCTGCCACATTCCACACAAATAACAAATTCTTCTTTTTCCTTTACATTATTTTTTCGCTTCTCAAACATTTCTCTCTTAATCGGGCTAAAAAATTATCGATTAGTTGAAAAATAGTAAAATGTGGCTTACATAGACTGATTTGGTTCGTCAGCCAATATAATTACATCCCCGGCTTCGCTAAAACATTTTTCACATTGGTAATATTTATCACATACGAGACCGATTTGTTTGTCACTAAAATAAATAAGAAAGCATTAAAGAACTCACTTGTTTATATAGACGAAATAGGTAGCATCTCGGTTTATTGTACATAAATTTGAAGAGGAACAATACAAACCCTGAGGTTGATACTCATAATCCTGACCACAACAAAACCCCATTGCTTGCATAACTTGGTCTATGCGACTCTGAAAAAGCTCTGCCAACTAAAGCGAAAAAGTTAAATGAAATCACTTTAACATACCTTAGTGCACATCTTATAAACTTTGGAGGTTTTTTTGTTGTATAGCCATGCATTATTGAACATCAATCGAAAGTGATCCACAACCTGCCATGGGTCTGTGTATTTACCATCCTCTAAGTTATTTCGAATAGTCGTAAGGTCCATGGGTTCTTTAATAACTTGGAAATAATCTGGTATATGAAGCATCACTGGATCAACCGGAGCACGGAAAGGTTCTGCATACTTATCATTGTATACTTCTTCATGCAACTGCAAAAAATGGCGCAGAAGCTCTTCCCGTGACCACTTTTTCCATTTGCTTTCATCTGGTTTTACAGGTAACATATTTGAAGCTAATGGGACACTACTTGAATTAATGTTTGATGTAGTGTCAACAGAAAATGAATCATGATTTACTGGTGGATCGTTACATGGCGTTTCCTCAGCTTTCATTTCAGCCTTCACTATTTTGTTTTTATCAGGGACGCTATCTCCTGAGGTGACTATAGCTGGAGCGCTGATCATTTTGGTATCTTCTACTGGTGATTTGATACTAGGCTGTGATGTAGCAGTTCTCAAATTTGTAACTGATGAGGAAACAATGGGTGAATCGGAAGATCCTGCGGTTCCTGAATCTGACTTGAAACGATGACGATTGCAAGCATTTTGTAGATAGTGTTCGAATCTTGACATGTCACTTTCCGAGTTGTTTGAATCCTGAGTTGCAAATGAATTCATTTCATAACTCTGAGTTGAGGAAGCGTTATAGTTACCGTTGGTAATATTGGAGTTCGGAACTCTGTTTGCTGAGCAAGAACCCAATGTAGAAGAAACTGAATTGGAGGGTGAAGCCAACTGATTAGACAACGAGGACAAACTCTGATTTAGTTGCGATGAGTTAACAGCAGCGGATGAGGTTACCACGGATTGAGAACTCCCTACTGAATTGTCTGCTGCAAGCTGGCGAATTTTACGTTTTTCATCTAGCTCACGGTGAATCTTGTAGCACTTCTGAGCCAACAAATGAAAATAATGATCAACATCTGTGGCAGTAGCATACATTTCGCCCTCAACTTTACGGGCATATTGGATTAAATTTCGCATTCTTGGATCTGAATAGGCAGAAGCATCCGGAAACGGGAAAATGAAGCGTACACTATAAAAGAAAAGATTCAGTTATTAATGGAGGATGGGAGTATTAAATCAGAAATATCTTTGTTTAGTTTAATATAACAATGGTACAAGTGTCACAAATTTGCAGATATCTATAAGGTTTAGCTAGCTGTAAACTGGACCCGTGGATATTGCAGCTAAACCGAGATTAGCAAACTGAAAATTCATGTTCAATATGAAAAACTACAAGCATGAGGGACAATTCAGTAGCAATTTATAATAAGCACTAAAGCACACATAAAGTAAAACTTAAGAAAATGGACGTTTATAAGATAAAGATGAGTGGCCACTTTAAACGAAGCAATATGGTCATAGGACCAATGAAACAGTTCAGGTTGTAGACTTGCCTGACCAAAGTTGTTTCTTTTAAGATTATTTACTTCGTTATACTCAGAAAACCTCAAACAATCGAGTGCCAAAAAAGTGAGCACAACACAAAATAAAGAGACAACGTTGAAAGGAAATGAGACGGGTATGGATTACAATTTCGAAAACTAAGCGAAAAAGTGTATAACATGGTACTTGTCCTTTAAGAATACTAAAAAAAATCCAGTTGAGTTCTCGCTTTTATGAATGTAATAGAAAACGACAGCAACGTTGTCATCGGTTTTTATTACAAGATATACGGATACGCTTCGGAAAGTTTTGCACCGGCTCTAGGACCCGAATCAAGGGGTCATGACGAATTAACAGATGGCAATAGTACACAGCTTCTCATCTAATCCTAGTGTCCATAACTAATGGATGCCGTAGGAACCATCAGGATGACAATCACAAACCATACCACCAATGGTTGCTTATACAAAATTGCCTCTGTATTCAAATATACATTGGAGAACTTCAGTAGTCCTAACACGGCGTTGTTACTTGATATTAGCAATCCTTAGGATACGCTGACCAAACAGAATCGTAGATTCTACCTACCACACCACTACCAACACTTACACAACTACCCAAGCATAAAAGCTTCTGATTTGTGACATTAACACAGGGTAGGAGTAGGAACGAGCTCCTTCCAGTCTTAGCATTTAGGTGCAAAGCAGATGCCCTGGTTACGAAAACTGACCGCCAACCAAGTACGGTTTCAATAGGTTGTTTCATCATACAGAAGTTAGGTATGTGTTTTTCGTGTAACTGCGAACTCCCACCAGAGCAGTCCCCAGAATAACAGTGACAGGAAAGTTTGAGAAGAATGATGATATTATTTCTGACCACGATGGAGAGCGGTGGTTAAATAAGGTCTTTGAGATGCTAATAAACTCAGACAATTCGAGAGCACAAACCTAATCTTACGAATCAAAAGCCGGCTTGATATCAAAGAACGCAACGACTGATCTGCAATAAGCGCGGCGACGTTTAAACAATTGGTGATGAAGGTATGAACAATACATGAATGAGCAGAATGAGAACAAGCCTTCTTTCCACATCGGTCAGTCTTCCTCGGGTTTTGAACAGTCTACGTATGATGGGAGCCGATTGTGTAGAAGCATCTGAAAGTAAACTTATCCTCCGTAGTCATCGCATACCCAAGTTGGAACACTACCCCCTGAACCTCTGCAAACAACTCAGTCGATATCTGTACTGCAATACCAGTAATCAATATATATCCCCTGGTCATAAAGTAAAACAGGGTAAGCTGTTGAGCAGTGTATTCATACTTTAGTCGGTAGACATATCTAGCATGCATCACAAATGACAACTTGATGAAAACCAACCAGGTAGAGATTTTGTCAGACACCAACCAGGTAGATGAGACTTTCGAAATAAGTGAAGTGACCAATGCGCTTAACTAATTTACCCTTTACCAATAGCTTAGGTGTTGATGTGGGCCAGCGCTGAAAAATATTTTCCATTTAGATGGGGAGAATATCACACCAAACATGACAGTAGTGTTGCTTAAGACAGTTAGAATGCTGTACTTTTCTAGTTTTTGCCAGAGCTATCATCTGCGTAATCTAAGTGAACAAGTGAATCTTCTGATAGATCAATTGCCGATAGGTCAGACGATATCTATCAATAGATAGATAGAAACAGAGTGGGCAACCCAATCAAACACTGATGACAGTTCGCCATCAGCTCAAACAAACTGAACATTGGGTAGACAGCTAATAATAAATATATGTTTTTAGTATTCCAATGAATGTAAGCTACTTCTTCAGAGAGATTCTGTTAGCCAGTTTAGTTGTAAACCTTAATCAACCGACTGGTTACCACTTATCCCAGAAAGCTATGCTAGAAAGGATATATTGAAACAATTGGTAGCAGTTAGGCTAACTACGTTGGCGTACGAAGTGAAATCCTGCGTAACTGTTTATTATGGTCAGTGGAATAACAGTATTATTAACTGTGAGCTTCAATGACAGAATGCCCTATTTATTCTCTTTTAAGCCCAAAATATCATTATGTATATCTCTCCCCTTGACTTTATTTGTCGCGTTAAGTTGTTCATTCGTGTCCCATTCCTGCATGCACATCCTAATCCTTGGCATTTCTCTCGACTATCCCCAATCCTAATGAAGTGTAGCAGCTCGCATTAATGCATGTAGATTTAACTTGTCTTTCTGTTAATAACTTTAGAATCATTTCCAAGGTGTGACGGAACAGAGGCGATTAGTCAAACAAAATCCATAGCAAGAGAGCATTGTGGTGTGTTCTGTGAACGACTACGAAATAGATGGTTCTGATGACATCGACAAGTGGCTTTGTAGAGCACGAAGGCAAGTGAAACCTTTATACAAAGTTACTAAACAAGTACCAGTTAATGAAAACAAGATACAGACCAAGATATCTATATCTGCTTTTTTTACTGTATTTCGTATTCAGTATGAGTCCTGTCAAATGGAGTAAATATAACCGGCATAATACTCGAAGTGAACTAGTTCATGGTTTATCTAATTCGTCATAAAGACTGCCTTTCCTTATAACACAACTCACAAAGATGCGGGATGTCGGTAAAATAGCAACTAGAACAGCCAGAATTCACAACACGGAATAAAGCATCGGGAGAAAACATGAGCAGTGACTGTCAGGGCGAAAACAGTGATGAGGGGTACAGTACCACATCTTTTGGTCTAGTAGTCGAGGGATATATGATGACTGGCCTAACGTTAGCACTTTTATGTCAAGGGTTCCAAAGCAGTTAGGATGTGACAGTTTTGGTGTCAAACAAACTGCAGGTCTATCACCTAGAAATTGACTTAGTTCGCAACGAACCTCAGGCGAAAGATCGAAAACGGCCTCAGCAAATTCAGAATTAACCGTCTACCTTAAGAAGCATGGAATATTCTAGGTATAGGAATGCTAAAGCATCTCATTGGTGTCTGATGAAATAACAAAAAGTAGCAAATTACATGTACAAGTACAACAACAACCGATCTAAATTCGGTTGAGTAACTAAGACTGGGTAAGTGAGCGCGAAGGACACCGAATCGTAAACGACATGGAACCTGGCAAATATTTGAATCTATTCAAGTCGTCACTCCATTGGAACGACAACTACCAAGCCATATATATTGAGGTACCAACAGTATTAGTAATAACAAAGATCAGGTACGAACATGGTTGAAGACACCGGAAGAAATAACCAACTGGTTCACAGAGATATTACAACTCGGCGGTTACTCAGACACAACAATAATGCTGATCGACAGTCAGTCGGTAAAGCTGGGTCCTCGAAATATTTTTAGTTCCAGAAAAGCGATTTTGGAGTATTTAGGGAAAAAGCTTAGTGTTAAAAGCAAACGAACAAGTACATGAGCAAGTACTGCTAAAAATTATAGTAGATAAATCTGACGACATAAAACAGGTAAAACTCATTACTTACATTCGGCGGACGACATTATTTCGTTGAGGTATATCCACACCTTTTCGCCAGTCATTTTGCTCGCTTGATGTACATTTAACTGCTACATGATTATTAACACCATTCAAGTTTGAAGCATCTGAGATCTGAGTACTGGGGATGACTGAACTCGGTGCTCGTGTGGCAACTGTGTTGACAGGAACACTGGAGATGGAGGTTACCCGAAAGGTTTGGCTGGGTGGTTGCTGAGCGACACATGAATGAGGACTGCAGTCAACACCATTTACCTCGGGGACGCGGTTTGAGACCGCATGTACCTGAGTTGAATTCTGAGGTGGACGTATCACTTGATTACGTTGGTAGTGTTGGTCCTGCTTTAATGGTTCGCACACAGGGCACTCTCGATTGTTACAGTTTTTCCAGTGAGATATGATTTGACGAGAGGAAGCACAATGTGGTGTTTGACAATTTTTACCTTGTGTACATGAAGTCATATGTTGTAAAACTCCGCGCATTGTGTTGCAATGAGGTGTCGTACATTGGCTAATTCGTCCGTTGCTCTCATCTTCTTGGCGCTGACAACGGCGGGCATGAAGTAATAAAATCAACTGTTGCTGGATGAGGTGACGTTTTTCTGGATCTGTTGCAACGACGGAAGGGGCACTGGTAGTAGCCGTATATGTTTGACCGACTGGGTGAGTGCTTGAAACAGGAGCCACGTTACGAATATTGGCAGGACTACTCATTACTGAAGAGTTCTGGCTTTGTATGTTAGTCACGACTATTGACGAACCGAGAACACGTGGAGAGTGATTCTGTGCATGAATCTGTGTATTATATACATTCCTGGATAGCAACGTCTCAAGCATATCAGGCTGACTGGCAGGAGTGCTGCAATGAGCATGAGTCATTGATCCAGGATTATACCCGACATTTAAGTTAGGAGATGCACGATGAACAATCGAATGGGAATACGATGAATGGGCACTACAAACAGGAACACATAAAGTCCTGGCCTCCGGTCCAATGTATTGAACGGGTTGATTATTTGCTGACAAGGAACAGATGGATGTTGCAGTAGGCAATTTAGCTGAGGAACTGGATATCTGGATGGTGTGAATTTCTCCAGAAGACGAGTAATTATTGATAATTGCTAGTGTGTTCGGATGTTGTAGTTGAGGATTTCGTAGGCTAATAGATCCACGAAGTTCATTTTGCTGAGTCTCTTGAGCCATGAAGTGAATGCTGAAAAACAAAATAAGTGGTGTAAGGCCATACACAGAAACTACAGTAAACCAAAACTGTGGCTGTAAACTACGTATTGTTAACCAATTAACAAGAAAACCGAGTGATATCGAGACTTATACAATTATAGCACACACAGTTAGAGCAGGTCAAATGTGAACATGAAAACAATACGACTTATTTATGCTTAACAGTCTTTGTAAAAACCACTACCTACATTATGCAGAAGCCGCATTTAAGCGGTATATTCACAGAATCGAAATAGATAAGACCAGGAAATCCCGTGAACAATATGGCGTTCGCGCCCTAGACTCTTTCATCTTTCTGATTGGTCGACCACCGTATATGAGAATCGTAAGAAGCAAGCATTGCAAAGCTTAAACAAACAATTTTAGATAATCTACTCTATACGCTCATTTAATCCTTCATCGATAACGACCAGCGATAATTAAGCATCTTTCCATATGCTAATAGTGATCCAGTGCATCCAATATCTTCGTGATGAGCGTGTGTAAACGGACTGACTACTTTACTCTCGTTCCCGTTGTTTCGGTGCCGTTCTATATCTTTGGTGATCTCTAGAGACGGTAGTTTAGTCAGTTCTGCATTTAAGTTTGTTTTTTATGTCTTGTAATTTCAATGAGTACGTTTGTCTCAAGACACTTTGGATTCTAGATGTGCAAGGATAAAATGGATGATAAGCAGATACTGATATGTGGTAATGATAACGGTAGGTAAGTTATGAGATCAACGGTAACTTTTCAATCTTAAGCACCTTTTGAGCTTTCATTTTGTGTAACATACCTTCACCTGAGTTCATCATTTTCTCTGAAACCCACACTTTGAGTACTTTCTCCCCCAATTGTCTCGCATTCTTCTGTTTATTCTGTCGGGTAACATGCACATTTATAACGCTGCCATCAGTATTTACATTATAACTCCCAGGTTCAGTTCTAGAGGTCCAAATTTATAGGTCAGTAATAGGTTAAAAATCTCCGTGTTTAGCAACTGGGTCATAGGCTGAAAATTACACTAGATAATGAGCCTCAATGTATTGTGTACAACATGAGTCACCTATTTAAAACAGCAGAACTCTCTAAGTGATTATTCATGGTCGAACTCCTACTCACACTCTTGCCCCTAATAAGACTAGTGCGCAAACTCCCTTTGGCTTGTGCTTCGCTGTGGAGAATTCCTCATTGATAATACTGCTAAATTACACAACAGCAATTATATTTAATTGTAGATCGAGGTACTTGAATACACAATATTTAGGTTATCGTTGACACCTTTTCTAAGTTACGTAATAAATGGCGACTTAAATCGACATGAAGGAACAAATTAGGTTCTATTTCTGCGTGACTTGTCAGAAAATTTATGTCAATTTTCATCCAATATTCTATATATATATATATATATATATATATATATATATATATATATATATATATATATATATAATGTTTCCACATACGCGCTTAAATTTTCATCCACAAAGGTCATGAACTTCAAGTGCCACAGCTTCCTATAATTAAACCCGGTTCTATGAACACCAGCTCCACCAAACCTGCGACTATCGGAGCCACAAAACGAGCTCATACACAATGAATCTAATTGATGTTACAAAAAACCCCATAGCAGTAGATGGGCATCTCAATAAAATGGAGGAAGTATGGTTCCAGAAATGCAAAAAGTTACAGACAAATAAGGTCGACGAAACTTCTCCGTTGTATTTAGTGTCTCGGAGACGTAGGGTAGCTCACTAATAACTAGGTCATGGGATTGTACAAAGAAACTAATAGATCAAGTAATTCATAATGCTCGACAACTGTGCGACTACAGAGAAACACTAACGATCATATGCCTCCAGCAAACCCGTGAAAAGCAAGCACACAGAAGAAAAAATTGGGATGGTTCATGAAGTAGCTGAGCCGGTGGGTGATATTTGAGACGATACTCAAGGACACGTTATACACTAGTGATAATGGCCATTCTGTAGTCTAAGTTAGCGTGTTCCAGGTTCACTGACAATTACACCCCACGATCATTTAGTCTGCGCACTTGATATCTACCAATTTCTCAAGTGAATCCTTTCAAGTCTGGTATAGCTTGGCAAATCACCTATTCATTTGTATGACGTGTTGCGAGGGCTCACATAAGTCATCGATACGACAGCAGAGAAGCCATATATAATGCATTTTGGCGTCTATTCGCCTCATTCAACAATCCACTCTACAGGACTCTTTGACTGCACTCTCGCTAATGGTACATACTATAACTCCAAAAAGCCTACAGCTGTCAGGTCATCCAGAAAATGAAAGGCACAACAATTGAATTAATTATTCACGTAAATGAGGAATAAAATCTGGAGTAGTTAGGCCTGGTACTTTGTAAATGTGGGTTCTTCTGGGATATTCAGTAGGGGTTGTCAGTACTATAGATTTCAATAAAGTGTGACGTAACTTGCTGGTTCGAATAGCGAAACGTTCTGCGAGAATTTTATCCGAGCTCTTTCGTCTTTTAACTTGACTCGATGTCCTCGTAAGCTTGACTAACCACTGAAACGTGTAAGTGAGCTATTATGATGAACAAAATACCCTACGTCAAGATGATATTCCCCTTAGCCTTTCTGTACCGCAAAGGATGTAAATAAGGAGCTTCTAGTCAACGGGATCAAGCCTCAGTGTTTTTGGGAATACCTTCTTAGCCACTCTTCTTCGAACGACAGAAGTAGCAAGCGTATAAGAGGAACCTCATTGTTACTGATTAGTCGTCTCATCATCCTAAAGTGCCGAAAGCAAACAAAATGTTCTGCCCCACAAACATGGGTTGTTTGAAGTTTTCGCCCACACCATCAATGTTTGCTGGTCAGTAACTCCACCCTCCCTCCTTTTGTGTTGTTAGGCTCATGTTAAATGTTTAAAGGAAGCTATTGAGTTCTACTTGGTGTTCTATGTCTCGCATCCTGTTGAGAAACACTATTTCTGCAAGTTCCTTTCACAAACTCGTCTGGCTGTTACAACTTATGAACTATTGGTTAGGCATCAATGCTATACAGTTAACAGTTATGGAGAAATAGTAAGAATTTACAAACAAGATTTAAGCATTTAGAATGTAGTGGGGAAGATGTACTTAACTAGCTAAGAAGGAGATATAAAGAGTATCATGGTTAAAAGTTGAGCAATGGATAACACTAAAGGGCTAAGGTAAGTCAATAGCGTGTAAGTGAGAACAGTATAATCGATAATAGGCCATGTGTGTAGAATCTTTTTTGAATGTTTTGTTTTTGGAAAATCCCTCCATGTTTATATATTTTTGTTATGACATGACGGACTCTTTCTGTTGACATTTTGGTATTTTATTTGATTCCAATTTGAGATTTTATCATTGTATATTGTTATTATTTCTATATTTTGTACTTATATTGAAGCTTTTATGTTTGCTTCTGAACTGTACATATGTTGTTTAAATTTGATATAATATGGCTACCGCCACATTTTTGGATTTGATATCGTGCGGTATAGGAGTCCACCTAGTCTTCGAAACCTCGATACTCATTCAGAGTAATTTTGAATTGGAAGGCGTAAAATTTGTTAGGTACCGTTTGTATTTCCATTTATTCTCTATTAATAGACCATTTTCTCCTAGAATTATTGTGTTTTTATATTCTAAATCGGAGAGTGCGTCCAACATACGTCTATTGGAATCGAATTGAACTGCTACGGTAGAAAATCTGTTGTGTTTGTGCAAATATATACAATGACCTTGATGATCGCTAATCACTGTACAGACACGTCAGCCTCTCAATTACCAGCCCCACGGAATAGAGGAAAAACAACGACTTGTGAGTCAGACAGACAGATCAGATCAGATCGTTTTTTTTATTATTTCAATCATGCCTTTATATACGTGCAAAATCACACTGCATCGTAAACCAATTGGAAAACTGACATCAATACAAAATAACAGTAATAGTGAGTGTGAACTGGGGTAACGCATAGCAGTCAATTAACTTTAGTTCATAAATGAGAAATGATATAACAACAGTTAATGCCTCAAACAAGAGTATAGGATAAGAGCAACGTCAGAATAATAGGAATAAAATGCTTACTTTGTATACAACCAAAAATAATGAATCTTAAGCAGAAAAAACAGTTCTAGAAGATAGTCAATCTTCTTTAAGTGCCCGCCATAACACCTCCCCCTTTTTTTTTGAAAAGAAAAATAAATATCATCGGTAAGATTTATCATAGGGTTTCACCTTGATCCTGTTTGGTTTCCATCGAATTCTTTGTGATTTCCTTAGAAATGATGCTGTTCTTGTCTCCACTGCTTTCGTTTTCTTATTGCTTCTGTCAGTCAAATCAAGTAACATGTTTAACGTCATCGGAGTACTCAGCTTAACTTCATTCCCGTCATCGCATCTGGACGGTCGGATGTGGTTAGCATGTCTTAGCCATTTCATATCGCTTACTCCGACCTCATAGATAACTCTTCCTCTGTTCCTTACGATAATTCCAGGAACCCACTCCATTGTTTTACTATGAAAATCACGTACCCAAACCTTTTGTCCGGGTAAGAATCTTCTGGGCTTCGCTCCATGCTTCTTGTTGTATTGTATTTCCATTCTGGAATTACGTTCGATAGTCATTGCAAAATTTGGCTTCAAACTATCTAATGGCGTTCTGATTTTTCTTCTAAGCATAGCTTCCGCAGGGGACACTTCACTGACCGTCTCACGATTCGGTTTTGAACGATAAGCAAACAGGAACTTATACAATATCTCTTCTAATCTTCCTTCCCCCTGGGCTTTGAGTAACGCTCTCTTAAAAGTGTCGACGAATCTCTCGACTTGCCCATTTGATTGTGGGTGATACGGAGGGGTTCTGATATGCTTAATGCTGTTAAGAGCACAAAATTTCTGGAATTCTGCAGACACGAATTGTGGGCCATTATCGGAGACAAGTACTTCTGGGACTCCGAAACAGCTGAATATTTGACGCAGTTTGTCTAGTGTAGCCATGGTTGATGTAGACCTCATACAATGTACTTCCGGGCACTTAGAAAAAGCATCGATGATAATTGAGTAGTGTTTGCCCTTTAGGGGACCAGCGAACTCTACATGAACTCTCGAACATGGATGTGTCGCTGGTTTCCAGCAGCAAAGTTCGGTTTTTCTAGGGGCTTTCGCAGCGTGTGCACATTTTGAACATCTCAATACATATTTCATAACATCAGTATCAATGTTTGGCCAGTATACGTAACTGCGGGCCAATGCTTTCATTCGGACGACACCTGGATGTGCAGAATGTAATTGTGACAGGACTTTGTGGCGCAAAGATTTGGGAATAACTACACGGTCACCAAACATAAGACAATCATCAACAACAGCAAGGGCGTCTCGTCGATGAAAATATTGTCGTTCTGTTGCGTTGAGGTGTGGGGGCCAACCACACAAAAGATAGCGAATAATTGTCTGAAGCTCTTCATCCGTCCTAGTTGTAGATTTTACGTCGATTGCTGACAAAGGTGTAGCCTGAATAGAAGTTTGCAGTATGTGATGAATATCATCTTCCAGTGACACCGTAGCAATAATAACATCTTCGTTCTCAAACTTTTGAGTCGCAATTAATCTGGAGAGGACGTCAGCGTGACCAAAAGTCATTGTTGATTTATAGCGAATCTTAAAGTTATAAGCTAACAACATAATTGCCCAACGCTGTAAACGATTGGCAGTATGTACTGGAATGCCGGACTTTGCCCCAAAAATAGAGAGGAGAGGTTTGTGGTCTGTCAGCAACGTAAGTGGTCGACCATAAATCATTTTATGAAACTTCTTTATTGCAAAAATCAGTGCCAATCCTTCTTTTTCTACTTGACTGTATCTCCTCTCAGTAGCATTTAGAGATCTAGACGCATGAGCTATCGGTTTCTCTTTACCATCAGGGAAACGATGACTAATAACAGCACCAATACCGTAGTTAGAAGCATCGGCAGCGACAACTATCTCTAATTTTGGATTATAGTGGGTTAGTAGTAAATCAGAGGATAAGATTTTCTTGATTTCTTCGAAGGAATTCTGGCATGCTTCTGACCAATTCCATGTTGCATTCGCTTTTAGATGGGATGGCGTAACCTTTGCATAGATGGAACAAAAACACTATAATATCCAATCATACCTAAGAATGATCTTAAAGTCACCACATCGGTAGGTGCAGGCATTTGTGTGATAGCATGTATATTATCTGGATCTGGACGGCGCCCATGTTTATCAAATATAAATCCAAGGTATTTAACAGATTGAAGGAAAAATTCACATTTATGTTTCTGCAGTTGGAAACCAGATTGTGATATTCGTGTAAGTACTTTATCCAAACGCGATAATAACTTATCTTTAGAGGAACCCACAACAATAATATCATCAAGATAAGCGGCAACACCATCAAGATTTGATATCATAATGTCCATTAACTGTTTGAAAATAGCAGGTGCTGGCTTTACACCAAAAGGTAGTCTGTTGTACTGGTAAAGTCCACGATGAGTATTTATTGTTAAATAAGGCTTAGAATCATCATCAACTTCTACTTGTAAATAGGCATCGGATAAATCCAGTTTTGCAAAATAACGTCCACCATTGAGTTTAATGAATAGATCTTCGGGCAATGGCAATGGATATGAATGATTTTGCAGAGCATTATTTAATCCAGTAGAGAAATCAGCACATAGACGAACAGTACCGTTAGCTTTTTGAACGACAACAATCGGAGCTGCCCATGATGAGAAAGTAATAGGTTGTATAACCCCAAGCTTTTCTAATCGGTCAAGTTCTTTATCAACTCTATCGATAGAGGCGTAGGGTACCTGCCGTTTTGGACGAAAAACTGGTGTAGCTCCTTGACGTAAATATAATTTGGCTTTACCAATATTGCAACATCCCAAAATATCTTGAAATACATTCGAATGCTTTTCAAAAAGATGAGCTGTAGTCAAGACGTTGTTGTTTGATGTAACATTTAATACAGGTAGATTTTTAGGAATATGTGGATCTTTCAATGTACACACTGCGTCTAGTGGCACCTTCCAAAGATTTAATTTGTCAATCCAATCAATACCAATAAGATCTAAATCATGTCTGTTTGTTAAATAACAAGTTCCAGTAAAAGAATGTACTCCGAATTTAACAGCACAATTTATCATCCCAACGAGTTTTAGAATATCTCCAGATGCATTACGCGCTGTATGTTCAGTAGGTAGTAATGGGGGGCAACCCATCAATTCCAAAGTTTTCTTAGAAATAAGTGTGATATCAGATGCTGTATCCAACTGCAAACGAATCTGAACATCATTAACTAATAGATCTACATATCTTCTTTTGTCAGCAAGATTACACGTGAATGTCGAATATATACTACGTATGGAACTCTTATGATTCCGGGGAAACTTTATGCGTCGTCCAGATTTCAAATAATTCTGTTGTCGGCAGACTGTTTCTTTATGACCAACTTTATAGAAAATGTTGCACTTATGACGTTTATAACGGCAAAATCTCGCGAAATGCCAAGATCCACAAAACCAGCACTTCGAAGACGGTTTGAATAATTTAGTTTGACGTTGATCATTCATTGGAACACTCTTACTTTTGTTGGATTTGACAGCATGGATATTGCAATTTAGTGAAGCATTACCTTTGGTCTCTACAAGCTTCGTAGCATTTTTGAGGTTGACCAGTCGTTGACATTCTGACGTTACCATCTGTAGTGTCATGTCATCGTTTTGCTCAATGCGTGATAGCAATCTTGTTCGAACATCAGCATCTGCTGGTGACTGGAGTCCAGAAACAAATAATAAACATTTAAACTGATCATTTGACAATGCGTTTAATTTAAAACGTTCGGCTTGTAGATTAATTCTGCTTGCATAAGACAAATAATCCTCATCTGCATCTTTTGTCAATTGAAGGCATTTATAACGAATATGAAATAAAGATGCTGGTTCATAGAATATCGCATTTAAAATGTCAATAGTTTCATTAAATGTCAGATCTCTTGGATGTCGTGGGAGGATATAATTCTTGTATTTAGAATATTCATGCTGACCAAGTTTTTGTGTTAATAAACGCACCTTCTTCGCGTCATCTATATGTTTATATTCCACTTGAAAAAGATCTTCGATTCTACCGAACCATGATTCAAATGTATGGCCATTCTCTGCATCAAAAATAAATTCTGGAACTGAACTGAGTGATAACTCTATTCCTTTTTCTTCAGGAGTTACTCTGGACTGGATAGCAATTTTTGACATTAATAACTCCAGCATTTGTTCTTGAGAGGCTAGGAATTGCTGTTGTTGCTGCTGTAGACATAATTTCATTTGCTCGAATGTGATAGTCATATTGATTTTTTTTTTAAATCCGCTTTATGACACTGAATGCGATTCTTAGTGCTGATTGGCTAATAAGTTGTAGCAGAATTAATGACCGATGACTGCGTAGGTTGGATCCACTTCAAAAACCGTTGCCATAACAAAATCCAATTACAGTCTAACAAATTTTGGAGAATAAGGCTTTTGACTATAATAATAATACTAATAATTTATTCTCAAATAAAAAACATGTTACAAGAGACATGCCAATTTACAGGCAAGATCAAAATGTTAAGATTATCAACATATTTTTTTTAAACGGTATGCAGTTACTGAAACATTTCACAAGATTCATTGTTTTCTTAAAGATGGAATGTACAGAGCGAGTAATTGGCACAAGTTACGAAGGTTGCGTTACGAGAATCATCTTATGGACTGAGAAACGATTCATGGTACAGATGGGTTTTCATATAACAAGAATTGATGCGGTAAATGTACAAAAGTCTGGTTGATATTCGTCAGCTAATGATTTCACATGTTCTTGGCTAGGGTAACCAAGTCTACTGCGAATATCCAGACAAATATATGTGGATTGGATTAAGGTTCTGAAAAAAGAGGAATAAAGAAAACGGGACGAGGAGCAGAACAGAAAATATTCATGTTCAAAGCCGAACAACGGCTTCGCACATACGTTTACGGATAAAACAAAGGTATGTTTACCCAAACATTTTTAATATCAGAACACTTTACACCTGCGCTTATGTAGGTTAATGAAGACAATTCAGTAGTGAGATAACTAATGAGAATTTAGTTGAAAGAATAGAGGAAATTCAGAAGAACCAAGTTGTTAGTAATAAAGTTGAGTTACAAAATATAATAAAGAGGATCAGTGATATAATTTTTTGGTTTTATTTATTCTTTTTATTTTTAACTCTGAGGCTCATGAAGTTATGAATGAGCTCTTTTTTAGTATAGTTGTCCAAACCAGCTTGTAATAGGATTTCTCGGTAGCAAGTAAAAACCAGTGCAAGGTTACAGACATGGGTTGTAGACGAGGTTAACTAGGAAAAGTAACATCAATATCACTGATTTGTTACATCCTGCTATATCGTAAGGAGCCGTAAGCAAACAAAATGTTCTGCCACACAGACATGGGTAGATTGAGGTTATCGCCCCACCGTCATGAATGCTGGTCAGATACACCACTCTCCTTCCTTTTGTGATGTTAGGCTCTCTTACGTTTAATGGTTAATTGTAAATAATGGTCTCTAGTCTACTCTCAATTTTTTTTAGTACACCTTATCGGAATGAACTTTCTCTACTAGCTCCAACATTACAAGCAATCCAGACAACTTTGCCAGAAAATATATCCACATAGCATATCACACTGATTTTAAGTAAACGAATGGTATAATTTGTAAGATGAGTCAGTTAATGGGTAGTTTGGAAATAGGAAGGACAGGGAGCTGGAACGAGGAGAAAGTGAAAAAAAGAGTTGAAATAATGTTAAAAATTAATGAGTAAAGCGATAAGTTGGTAAGCAGGCAAGGTGTTTGCATGTTAATGAATTGGGGAAATAAAAATTAGTTAAACTGTTAATACTTAAATAAGAAGATACTCACAATGATACACGGTGTTTGAGTTCCTTGTAATTGACAGTAGTTGATCAGCATCTACAGGCTTTTCAATTTGTCTGTCTACTAGAAATAAAAACTAAAACTGCTTTGAAGATATGAAAATAATAATCGGAATTTAAATTCAGAGAAAAGTCACGGGTAACACTTCAAAGGCGTAACCTATTACTGTTAGTAGGAGCAGGGGGATTCGTCTATCATTTCATGATACATGTATGGGTGGTAATGAGAACACAATGTGTTCATAGTCTATAATTCGTTTCCGAGGTTCATCTAAATATTTGGTGGACCATAAAAGAGTGCCTGGGGACTTTGTGTGAGTTCCGGGAATAGTCGGTATATCTCTTTAGAGTCTAGCAACAGCATGACTAGTTTCTTGAACTTAGTGATTGTGTCACAAATACGTATAGTAATTGGTAACCTGTTCCACAGTAGACTGTATCGTATTACAAAGAAATTACAACGCAATAATTTCTTGTGTTTTGCCGTTAATAATGTATATGCGTTGTTTCTAAGTCTGTAAGCAGTGTCTTGGTTCATATTTGGGCGGTATTTTACGAACGAAAGACCATTTATTAGTTTATAGAGGAGCATTAGGTTGTTTCTGAGACGACGGCGCCATAGAGGTTCTAGGGACAAGTTGCAGCACTTTTGTTCAGTGGACAGGTCTTCGGACTAATAGTCACTTTGGATCTATTCTCCGCTTAGGAGGGGTGGAGTTAGGTATAGTAGGGTTAATGTGACATTCGTGATTGTCGCTGCTACTAGTACACGAATCGGCCGGCATAGTTGAAAGGCCATTGGTAATACGGCGTTGTATAGTAGTTCTATCCCTGATAATTCTAATCTTCTTAAACAAACGAATGTGCCTAAGCAGTGACTGACTTTGGCTTTGATGACAGTACTAAATTGAAGAAGAATGGGACATGAAAATTTAGTCTGAATTTTACGAAGCCTGCAAGCTACACACCAAGAGCCGGACAATCCACACTCTTTAAGGAGAGTGTTTTTAACAGAATTTAGGCTAGCACTGTCAGGTACGTTATAAACAATGACATTCTGCATGCACTGAAGTCTTTTTAACACTTCCCGAATCCCATATTTTAATTTAAGTGGTCAGTATGAATTTTATCTTGACTTACTACTATATTGACTAATTCTGCATGACAGGTTAAGTAGTGCTTTGGTTATATATATACACTTGCTACACTGCTGCCTTTTTCTCTCTCTCTTCTCCTTTTCAGAACCCCATTCACGGTGGGAAATCCTTGGCGACTCTAGGGAACATGCACCCTATGTACATGACTGTCTGGATCACAGCTCGTATCAAGCGCGTTCCATATGACCTTTCCCAACAAATTCACTATTGATCTCGGCAAAACGCCAAAAAAACATAATATGCACCTTACTTCTTTATGTGTACTCTAATATTGAAAATGTAGATTTATAATACTGTTTCTGTCAGTGACATAGTGTAAATATGCGATCAGAAACTGACTCTCATACATAATTTAACTGTTATGAAATTACAGTAATTGTGAAAGCATTTGTGACAAATTGATCTGGCTTGTAAACTGGCGTGACATTAGTAACGTAGTTATTTGAAAATATAAATATATTTCAAAAAACATAACTAGTGATAAAAACAATTCCGCAGATTAATTTAGTGTGTACCAGGTTCACTGACAATTACACCCCACGATCATTTAGTCTGCGCACTTGATATCTACCAATTTCTCAAGTGAAACCTTTCAAGTCTGGTATAGCTTGGCAAATCACCTATTCATTTGTATGACGTGTTGCGAGGGCTCACATAAGTCATCGATACGACAGCAGAGAAGCCATATATAATGCATTTTGGCGTCTATTCGCCTCATTCAACAATCCACTCTACAGGACTCTTTGACTGCACTCTCGCTAATGGTACATACTATAACTCCAAAAAGCCTACAGCTGTCAGGTCATCCAGAAAATGAAAGGCACAACAATTGAATTAATTATTCACGTAAATGAGGAATAAAATCTGGAGTAGTTAGGCCTGGTACTTTGTAAATGTGGGTTCTTCTGGGATATTCAGTAGGGGTTGTCAGTACTATAGATTTCAATAAAGTGTGACGTAACTTGCTGGTTCGAATAGCGAAACGTTCTGCGAGAATTTTATCCGAGCTCTTTCGTCTTTTAACTTGACTCGATGTCCTCGTAAGCTTGACTAACCACTGAAACGTGTAAGTGAGCTATTATGATGAACAAAATACCCTACGTCAAGATGATATTCCCCTTAGCCTTTCTGTACCGCAAAGGATGTAAATAAGGAGCTTCTAGTCAACGGGATCAAGCCTCAGTGTTTTTGGGAATACCTTCTTAGCCACTCTTCTTCGAACACGTTCTAAGTGAGTAATATCCTTGTTAATGTTGGGCGATTTTAGGCAGGAGTTTTCCCCGACGAGATCTCTGATAAGCAATGAGAACAATTTTGAGTATTCCATGATCTAAGCCACCAAACGATTACTGAGGAAATATCGAGAATCCACCTGTTTGATTCGCAATATATTGCCATTAGGAAGAGATACCTGAAGTGTCCCAGCACTAACCATTTGGATGGTTCATGAAGTAGCTGAGCCGGTGGGTGATATTTGAGACGATAGTCAAGGACACGTTATACACTAGTGATAATGGCCATTCTGTAGTCTAAGTTAGCGTGTTCCAGGTTCACTGACAATTA